GCATGCGTGCACATGCCGGAAACCGGAAGAGCAGCTGCCTAGTGTGCATGCATGCGCCAGAAAGATAATCTTCCAATTTCTGGCATGCGCATGTGCACCGGCCACCTAGTCTTCCGGTTTCTCATGCATGCGTGCACGAAGACCAGCTGGCACATGCGCATGCTGGAAGCTCATTTTCCTGGTGTGCGCATGCGCACCGGGCAGCTGCTCTTTCGGTTTCCGGCACCCCCGCATGCGTGAACACCAACTGGCCGGCACGCCAGAACCCAGAAGAGCAAATGGCAATGGCTTGCATGCCCGGAGAGATGGCTCTGTGTGCCACTTCCGGCACGCATGCCATAGGCTCCCCATCACTGATATAGGCAATAAAACCCAGCACTAAGCAGAGTAAGAGTACAAATTATAGAGTTTATATGTAGCTGAAAAAAAGGCAGAAACCGAAGAGGGTAGTCAGACTTCTAGTGACAAATTAGCCAGTTCAGTGTGGATCAGTTAATTTGTATTAAGTATATGCAAACCTTCCAGTTGATTGTGATGGAGGCAGATGACTGCAGATGTCAACATGGGAATAAATATATTATGCTGTATAATTTTAGTAACTTTTAAGGAAATCTTGTCAGTTGCCTGAACATTCCATACTGATATGTTCCACATTAGAATACATAAGCTACTTACAGATCCCTGACTTAATAGCAATTTATTGTGCACAATCATCTTTCAGTTTCGTTTATAAATTGTTAAGAGCATTTAATTACTGGGCTAGTCTCTTCTCCTTACCTGATCCCCGATTTGTCAAGCGGTGCCTCCTGGAGCCAATAAATTACTCCACTTCTTGCAGCAACTGGATTACATTTTTATCCAATTGTATGCTTACCTTTGCTTTTTCTCTGGAATTTTTTTTTTCAAATTCAAATGATGCAAACAATAATTTATTATTTGAAAACAGGGTAGCAAATGTCTGAAATTTGTTTCAATTATCACCATATAAAAATGCCCCTTGGTACGCAGGTCATAAAACCAGAAATTAATGTGAACATTATCTGAGGTGGACGCAGCTAGAGATGGCCGATTTCTCAATATTCCATATATGTGCTTCTGCCCTTGCTTCAAAGAGATTATAGAAGTTTTTATCGATTATTTATTGTATTGCTCTATTTCTCCTTCAGCACCTGGAAAACTTCAGGATGCCTTCTTGATAAGAAAATTATTTAGGCCTGATCCATATAAAATTGCATTCCTAATGAATTTAGATTTAAATAGAGTGCTACAGAAATTAGTAAGGTTTGCATGAGCTGCTGCTAAACAGAGATAATATTTTATCAAAAGTTCCTAAGGCTAATACTGTATTTGCCACAATAATACTGCTTTGATTTTTTTTTTTACTGATTTTTGCACATTTTAATGTTTTTATTAATATTTTGTGCAGGTTTGATCTTATTTGTTACAACCAATGGTCAAAACAATACATTTAACTGAATTGGGGGAATAAATGACAGTTCAATAAAAAGTTAAGACATTCCCACTTGCAACTTCTTTGCTGCAAGTCAAAAGAAAAAAAAAGCACCATAAAAATTAATCACAGCAACAGTATGCACTGGAGACTCTTTACTATTATCTAAGATCTACTCTTGTGTAAAAGAAATTCATCTTAGTTCTTTTAAGTCACTTTTGAAAAATAGTTAAGGCAGTATTCCATTTCATACGATAGATATCATTAGAAAGAACCAGAATTAAAATAATTCATACATTGTGCTAAACTCAGTATGTTGTGCACAGTGGTTTGATTCTTCCAAGAATTTGTTACCATGTTATAAAATTTCAGGAGTTGTAAAAAGCATACACTTAATTTCATTATAATTTCCATGATATGTATTTTTGTGTGAATATATTCATTTAGCAAGACATCATTATGTTTAATGTTTCCCTAGCTTGTTTCACATGAGTTTTAACTTCTCATTTGCAAAAGAAAATGTGTTGGTGTATATAACAATAAAAGAGGCAAAGGTGTCCCCATCGATTTTACTCTGTAGTTGTGACCAACTTTAGGGAGGGAAGTACTCATCTCCTTTTCTTAAGCCAAAGAGCCAGCACTGTGGTCATGTGGCCAGCATGCCATCACACCGCAGCACAGAATGTACAGTGAAACATGGAACACTGCTATCTTCCTGCAGGCTTATATGGGTTACCTATTCATCTACTTGCATGTGCATGCGTTCAACCTGCTAGGTTGGCAGGATCTGAGACAAGTGATGGGAGCTCACTCTGTCTTGCAGCACTTGGGTCTCGAACTGCTGAGCTGTAGATTTTTAACCATCTAAGATGCAGTGTCCTAATCATTGAGCCAGAGGTGGGCGTCACATACTATAACAATTGGTTCATCCAGAACTGAAAATGTGAGCATGCGCATGTGAGCGGCATCGAAAAACCGGTGATTATGTAGGACATGATAGCACCAGGGTGGTTTGGCGGGCCCAGCCGCTGATCGGAACTACTGGTTTGCCTGAACCGGCAGCAGCCCACCACTGCATTATTATTATGGGATGCACCACTGCATCCCATGTTGGTGCATCCCCTGTTGGTGTTCATAAGGCACACAAATATAAGGACAACATATTGCTATTTAAAAACAAATATCCTTGTTTTTGTTAATTATTGTTTTGGTTTGTGCCTATGAGTCAGTTTATATTCATTTGTGAAAAACCACAAAAATGCCCAGGAGAAAATATCAGACAGACTATTAACTTTTAAGGCTATGAAAAGAAAATAACCTGATTTTCAGAAGATTAATAGCAATGGACTTCTCAGTTCATAAAGAGAACTTCCCATTCCACCTCTGATTTCTTTGCTGTCTTCAATACTAATACATATGCCTCCAAAATGGACAAGATCTTGTTAAAGATTTTCAATATTCCATGCTATTCTTGTTTTTTAGTTAGTCTCTTCTTCAATATTCTTTGGAAAACTTGGAAGTTGCCCAGACTAATTAGCAAGAAAGGGTAAACTATGTGTTCTCATAGTACAAATAGTCCTCAATCTATGATTGTAATTAAGCCCTGAACTATGGTCATAAATCATGCCAGTTGTTAAGCAGGTCATCACATGACCAACTCATTTTTACATTTTATACAATGGTCATTAAGCAAATCACCATGATTAAGTGAATCCATCACAGTCGTTAAGCAAATGCCAAGGTTGTTAAGTGAACCAACTATCTGCAAAGAATGCTTTTTGCTAAAATCTGGAGATAAGCACCAGTTCCTGGCAAAAAATATTGTAAATTGTGATCACATGACTGCAGAATGCTTCAAATAGCTGCAAATGTGGGCAGGTTGCTGAGCATCCAAAATATAATCACATGTGGAAGGGGGGGGGGGCAGCCAGGTTATCAGTACTTTTTGTGTGTGTGACATAACTGAATGATTACTAAGCAATCAGACATAAATTGAGGACTACCTCTAAGAACCCTTTGTTATTCCTTGTTTAAGAGATCATCTACAGTTGCAAGAAAAAGTATGTGAACCCCTTGGAATTACGTGGAGTTTTGCATGAATTGGTCATAAAATGTGCTCTGAACTTCATCTAAGTCACAACAATAGAAAAACACAGTCTGCTTAAAATAATACTACACAAACATTAGATGTTGCCATGGTTTAATTGAACATAACATGTAAACATTCACAGTGCAGGGAGGAAAAAGTATGTGAACCTTTGGACTTAATAACTCAACCAAACGTTTCCTGTAGTTGCAGATCAGTCCTGCACAACGATCTGGAGTAATTTTGGACCACTCCTCTTCACAAAACTGTTTCAGTGTAGCAATATTCTTGGGATGTCTGGTGTGAATCACTCTCTTAAGGTCATGCCACAACATTTCAATCGGGTTGAGGTCAGGACTCTGATTGGGCCACTCCAGAAGGCGTATTCTGTGCTGTTGAAGCCCTTTTTTGTTGAATTACTTGTATGCTTTGGGTCATTGTCCTGTTGCATCACCCATCCTCTGCGGAGCTTCAGTTGGCGGACAGATGGTCGTACGTTTTCCTGCAAAATGTCTTGATAAACTCTGGAATTCATTTTCCCATCAATGACAACAATCCGTCCAGGCCCTGAGGCAGCAAAGCAGACCCAAACCATGATGCTCCCTCTGCCATGTTTTACAGTGGGGATGAGGTTTTGATGTTGGTGTGCTGTGCCTTTTTTTCTCCACACAGTGTTGTGTGTTCTTCCCAAACAACTCAATTTTGGTTTCATCTGTCCACAGTATATTTTGCCAGTAGTGCTGTGGAACATCCAGGTGCTCTTTTGCAAACTTTAAACGTGCTGCAATATTTTTTTGGGGACAGCAATGGCTTCCTCTGTGGTGTCCTCCCATGTACTCCATTCTTGTTTAATGTTTTCCTTATTGTAGATGTGTCAACAAAAATGTTAGCATGTGCCAGAGATTTCTGTAGGTCTTTAGCTGACACTCTAGGATTCTTCTTTACCTCATGAAGCATTCTGCACTGTGCTCTTGCAGTCATTTTTACAGGACGACCATGCCTAGGGAGAGTAGCAACAGTGCTAAACTTTCTCCATTTGTAGACAGTCTGTCTTACCGTGGACACATGAACATCAAGGCTTTTGGAGATATTTTTGTAACCCTTTCCAGCTTCATGCACGTCAACAATTCTTGATCATAGGTCTTCTGAGAGCTCTTTTCTGCGAGGCATGGTTCACATCAGACAGTGCTTCTTGAAACTAGTAAACCCAAAACAGGTGTGTGTTTTTAAAGGGCAGGACAGCTGTCAGCAACACATCGAATATCATCACACTGATTGTAGTCAAGGTTGGCTCACTCCTGGCTCCAATTAGCTCTTGGAGAAGTCATTAGGCTAGGGGCTCACATACTTTTTCCTCCCTGCACTGAGAATGTTTACATGTTATGTTCAATTAAATCATGGCAACATCTAATGTTTGTGTAGTATTATTTTAAGCATACTGTGTTTTTCTATTGCTGTGACTTAGATGAAGTTCAGAGCACATTTTATGACCAATTCATGCAAAACTCCATGTAATCCCAAGGGGTTCACATACTTTTTCTTGCAACTGTACATATTCAACAGGATAGGCAACACCTAGCTTATTCCGGAACGCCCTGAATAAACTGGAAATATATCAAGTTCACTTTCCTTTATGGAAAAAACATCCAATCCCAGCAAAGTTTAAGAGTTCTCCTTAGTCCAAGATTCAAAGGCATTGTCTCCCCAGAACATTCTTTTGTAAGATTCGGAGCCTTGACATTACTACATCCCAGTCTGCGTAGGCTCCTTCAAGATGACGGGATATTTCTGCTCCTGCCTGGTAACTCTGTCGACCATGAAGTAAACGCCAATTATCAAATACCACTACATCACCTAGAAAGAAGGCAAAGAATTATTTTAACATAAAATCTGTGGTAAATACATCTATACTAATTAGGGACATGATGGAACAGAAAGGCTTATTGATACAATATTTAGAACTACTGAAGCCAGTAATTCCCTAAGTACAGTTTAACATCTGATGATTGCACTGGTATGCAGTTTTCTTGGCGATTTTTTCAAAATAAATAAAAGCAGTTTGTCTCTGCTTTCTTCTGAGACTTTTTTCTAACTTCTCAGTGTAGCCTATAGCAGGGATCCCCAATCCCCGGTCCATGGGCCAGCACCGGTCCATGCATGCCAGAAACCGGGTCACCCAAACAACACGGGATGCAGAAAAAACGCCCCCTCTGGTCTGCAGAAAAACCTCTCCACGGAACTGGTCCTTGGTGCCCAAAACGTTGGGGGCTGCTGGCCTATAGCATTCAAGTTCTCTCATGAACATTTACTGAAGTATTAGGAGCATGGTGGCTTGAACGGTTGGGCTGCTGGGGAGGTTAGCAAGCTCACGTTTGAGACCTGAGAGTTGCCACGGGGCGGGGTTGAGCTCCTGTTCTTCACTTGAGCTCCTCCTGGGGATATGAAAGGAGCCTGGCATTGTCAGGGCAACAGTGATGTCACCGGTTAATTCTTTCAAGCAGGAAGCGCCTTGGAGCTTCTGACACAGGTGCAAAATACTGAAGTACTAATCATTTTCAACCAAAGTAGCAGCTTGGCACTGCCAAATGCACTTAATAGGCAAATATTAGGAGAAATCTGCTTCAGGTGCATTTGTATATACGTGTGTTCATCTATCTCCACTATCACTTCAGAATGCATTTTAAGAAAAATGAGCACTGCATGTGATATATAGGTAAAAAGAAGAGATTTATATAACAAAATAACAGAGAGTTGGAAGGGACTTTGTAGGTCATCTAGTCCAACCCCCCACACAAATAGGAGACCCTACACCATTTCTGACAGATGGCAGTCCAGTCTCTTCTTGAAAGCTTCCAGCGGTGAAGCTCCCATAACTTCTGAAGGCAGACTACTTCCTCTGCGCATTCCCTTCCCTGGCTCTCCCCCAAAAGCTGGGGAGAATTGGCAACAAAGTAAAAAAGAAGTCCCAAAGCTGCTTTTTCCAGAAAGCACCTGGATTTTCTTTTTCTTTTTTTTTTCTTTGAAAGCATTTGGCTTCTCATCCAAGAAACTTCTTTAGTTCTTTGGGACAACCATGACCAGAATGATTGAGAATCTCAGTAGATAAGCAAATAAGGAATTTTATTATTCTGGCTAATGAAAAATTAATTAATTAATGAAAGAGTGACATGGGATACAAATTTTTACAACAGAACATGTTTTGCCTGGAGCCCTCCTTGTAATTGAAAAACCTACCCTCAATAGTTGGAGAATTTTCTGAAGGAGTTTTTGTATATTTCTTCCTATTTCAACTGAAAGAGACTTTTAAATCAACTGGGAAAAAAACTGATTACCATTTCATCCAGGCCTACCTGGCTTCATTTTGTATGAATATTTATAATCCGTGCTATTTAGGAGACCAACATAGTCCTTGAGAGCAGCATAAAATGGCTTTACTTTTTCAGCAGGTATGTCAAATATTGTATCTCTGGTTGCATTGTTAAAATTGATACGAACCACTTGGCCCTTTTCATCTACACTGTTGAGAAATGAGAGAACAATTCAGGTTATCCTCAAATTTTTCAACAGTTTTATGTTACACCATTCTTCATTCACTGGTATTTTAAATAGGTTAGAGTTATAAACCTTATAATGAATAAACTATGAAACTTACAATGAATTAACTACCATATGATAAATAATTGAGAACCTGACTGGTTTGTTTTAATAAAGCTATTAAGTTTCCCAAAATTTCTTTATAAATTTGAAATTAGAGAAAAGTTAAACACGAAAGCAAAACTAGACAGATTTAGTTCATCCTGTCAGAGACAAGTGTTTTGCTTTTAAATTTTGAGGCTTCATCATGGTTTATACAACTATCTGTGGCGTTGGATTGCTATCACCTCTTTTAATACGGAAAGTGTCTTAACTGTAAAAAACATCCTATAAAATGAATGTAGGAGAAATTAAACCAACCATTTGCCCATTATAAAGCTTCCTCCAGCCAGCAGTACTTAATGCTTTTATTACATGCAGATAAATTTCAAAAATGCAATGATGTAATATAATGTCAAACTCGCGTCATCACATTGTTGTCACATGACATACTGCGACTTTCCCCTTCGCTAAAACAGGGGTGAGCGTGGCCAGTGTGTAATGCATCCGGCCTATGGCCCACGAGTTTCACACCCCTGATAATATAACAATGTAATGTAATGTAAATGTAATATCATATCTTATCACATAATTCTATATATATATATAATATATAGATACATACATATGTACATACGTACGTACGTACATATGTATATATTATATGAATGTGGCTATATATATATCCATCATCTCTCTCTCAATATGATAATATGAACAGTACACACATTTTTAAAAAGTTGATTTGTATTCCTGTCCACAAGGTGGCAGGCATAGCCTTAACACTTTTTATTTTGTTCAATAAAACTGACTGCTCAGGGTTTCACCAGTGAGATAGATGGCCATATAAATGTGCTAAATAAATAAAGCAAAAAGATACTTTTGCTTGCAATTCAGGAATAAGACAGCATCAGATAAAAATATATCATATAATTCAATGTTACCTACTCTATAATTCTTTGTTTGGCTTGCATGGCAAAATCGCAGTAATCAACTCCAGTGTCTGTGAAATCTACAAATGTAGAGGTCAAGATTTTGAAGGCATAAGGATTTTGCTCCTTAAATTTATTGGCTACATGAAATCCATCCACAACTTCACTCTCCCCTCCAGTAGAAGTTTGTTTTATACAATGCAGAAACTGAATCTGTAACAAATTAATAACAGGTTATTATTATAAGTTCAACATTATGCTCTACACTTATGTTTTATATAATCAATGTCTTTAGAAGTTTCCTTACTATATAACATGACATGGTTTAATTCTTTAAAAATCCCAAACCTAGAAACATACAGGGACTGTAAAGATTGCTCGCAAAACTTTTTGTTTAAAACTATGTTTTAAAAAATTCTTACAAGCATTTGAAAGTAATATTTTGATGTGATTCTTGGCATAAATTAGAATATGAACTTTCTTTTCTTTCCCATTTGAAAACTTCCTCTTGATTGCCATACCATATGTACTTGTACAACCTCTAAATGAATTTTCAAGGTAACTCCCAAATCTGGGGGGTGGGGGGGACTGGCATCTATTTAGTAGCACACGATCTGCTTAATTCATCAAAAGTATGATACCACAGATTGTTTGAAGGCCTTGAGTAAAAATTTCCTATAGCAACACACAGACCACATTAATCTCCTCATCTTTGCAAATGCAGCAAGAATGGCAGAAATATGGGCAGTGTTAGAAGTTCAGTAGGTTATTAAAATACTAAACCGAAATACGTATACATTTTCTCCACTGAAACATCATGGGTTTTCTCCCATGAATCCATCTGAGAAATTCTAAGCATTTCTCTGCAATACACTGTATAGTTATTACAGCAACAGATGAAGCTGTGGCCTGAACATAATTTAGTACATGGTTGATTTAAAAGTGATTATGTAGAAAATAACTTGGAATCAGTGTAAACCTCACCAGAATTGATATTCACAAAGGCCAATTTGCACCATTTTGGAACTTCTTATAAATTTAAATAGAATGATTATACTGAATAAGGGCTTTGACTGCTGTATGTGGTAGGTAGAAGTTCTACTGTAGAACCCTTTTCAGATTTCACTGTTTTCTATTAGGAGACTTAAATGATGTTAACTTTGCATTGCTTTAGAATCTCCTTAATGCAATGTTACAGAGCTCTATTTATTTTCCACTCTTATACAATACATGAATAAGTTTGTCAGCTAAAAATTCATGATATCTGACATAAATAACACAATAAATAGCACAATATTACAAACTCTGTGCATCTGTGACTTCACCTGAGCTGATTAAAATGGAATTGAGAAATACTAACCTTAAACAATACAGTATAGTGTTCTCCAGATGTTTTGGCCTCATCAGCCCTATGACTATGGTGAACTGCAAAATATTGCAGCTGTTGTATTGTAAAATGTCTGAATGAGTACAAGGTTGCTTATCTCAGGAGTAGCAAATAATACATTTTATGAACGGGCAGAATCAAAAGTACATCTGGAAGTAAGATCTGGTACTAAATGTTATTGTATCACCAGTGCTATTTAAAATTTTAACTGAAGCTATTTGTACCGAAATTAGGGAGCTAAGAGCAAGATATCATTTAAATCAGAAGAGGTTATCTACTATCAAGAGAAGCATTTGAGCCCAGGAGTGAACTGGATGATGACCAATAACTTGTAGTGAAATCCTGTGAACCAATGGCTCCCAAATCAAGAACTATTTGTTTTCAGTGGGTTGTACTTTTCAGAATTTACATAATTTACAAAATAAGAACGAATTGGAAGGGACCTTGGAAGTCTTCTAGTCCAATTCCCTGGTATAGGAAACCCTATACCATTTCAGACAAATGGTTGTCCAATGTCTTCTTAAAAACTTCCAGTGTTGGAGCATTCACAACTTCTGGAGGCAAGTTGTTCTACAAATTAATTATTCTGTCAAAATTTCTTCTTAGTTCTAGGTTGCTTCTCTCCTTGATTAGTTTCCATCCATTGCTTCTTGCCTGTCTTCAGGTGCTTTGGAGAATAGGCTGACTCCCTCTTCTTTGTGGTAACCGCTGAGATATTGGAACACTGCTATCATGTCACTCCTAGTCCCTCTTTTCATTAAACTAGACATATCCAATTCCAGCAACTGTTCTTTATATCAATCCCCTAATCATCTATGCTGCTCTTCTCTGCACTCTTTCTAGAGTCTCAACATCTTTTTTACATTGTGGTGACCAAAGCTGGATGCAGTATTCCAAGTGTGGTATTACCAAGGCATCATAAAGTGGTATTAACACTTCACGTGATCTTGATTCTATCCCTCTGTTAATGCAGCCTGAATCTGTTCGCTTTACTAGAAGCACAGTTACCTATTACTATCTGCATTTCATAAATCAGTTGTCTGTTTTTGAACTTGGAGAGTTTGACTATTAGATTTCCTTCAATAAGAGTTTCAAAATTGGATTATTATGATGTGCTTTGTGAACTTGGGAATAGTTCAGCGCTGCAATTAGTTCAGAAAACACTAGCAAGATGATTAAGCATGTCTGAGTTCTACTGTGTTAATGAGCCAGCTTCAAGATATTAGTGTTTATTAACAAATCTCTAAACAATTTGGAATCCGATTAACTCAAATAATACCATTATATATATAAACATTCAAGAGTTTCAGGAGAGGCTCTACTGTTCATGACACAGTTGTAAACTGGGTCCTATGGGAAGTTCTGCCAATGATGGTGTGTTTTAAATGTTCTTTAAAAAACACTATTTTTATGTTGATCTTCCCTGAATAAAACTCATGGGCTCCCAGTTTCTACTCTGGTGTCTTTAACCATTATACCAAACTGGCTCTCGTACAACATAAAACACGGCTAATCAAAACATTTCTATTACTCTGCTATTGGCACCCATTTTACTGCCTTTTTTAAAAAAAATTCTCTTACCCCTGGTGGAAATTGTAGAACAGGGTAATCGGTATGAAAACTTAGCTTCTCAGTTGTGTAGGCCACGTTGTTGGCATCCAATTTGTCTTGCACTTGCCAAGTAGGCCTTTATAATGAACAAGAAATGAAAAACAAAACTATAATAATCTACCTGTAAATATCTAGATGCAAATTATACAGATCCAAAAACCGAATAATCCCAAAATTAACATCCACATTAAATTATCAATATCTCACCATTGTTATCATTTTATTAATAACATTTATTAAACTTTAAAAATGCAGCTAATAATTGTTTGAGATGGGAGAATAATGATCGCAATCACAGGTGATAGGGAACAGAGAAAAGTGGGCTTTGAATTTTCCTCCTCCTCCTCCTCTTCTTCCTCCTTCTTCCTGCAAAATTGCTCTTTCCTTTAGGGGAAAAGCAACTAGTAACACATCTGGAAAGGAATGTTCAGATCTGAAATTCCCTTTCCTGAAAAATAATACCCCTTGAGTTCTTATTTGTATTCATCCATGTAAACAATTAACTGGCAATGCTTTGCATTGCTAATGACTATAACAGTCTATTTGTTTTTCTTTTCTGAACGCTGAAGGAGATTCCAACCTCGAATTGGCATGCTAAAGGATGCCAATGGACAGATAATAACCAATTCCAAGCAAATCCAAAAAGATGAAAGAAATATACTGAAATACTGTACAGTATATTTGTCAATATCCAGCATACTTTAGAAAATATTCCCTCTTTACAAGAAATTCTAATACTAGAAGATGAAGTCAGATCGACACATTACCAAATCAGAAGGCTACAGGCCACAAAAATATGACAAGCGCCAAAAAAATAAAAATAAAAAACTAATAAACATTTTTATGAGGATATGCCAAATAAATTTGGAGAATGGTACAGATGGGACGATGTCAATCTATATACTGGAATATAGTAATGTGATGTGATGGAGTGTGCAAACTACTATGCAATATCCTTAATGTCACATGCTAGCAAAATAATGCTTAGGATCGTCCAATACAGATTTCAGCTCTGTGCAGAAATATTGTGCTGAATTAGATACAGAAAAGATTTTGTACATGTTGATAAGTACTTGTCTTTTTTTCCTTAAAACTAGCCATCTTCTTCGCAAAGCAAAATTTCTGAAATTTCAAATAAAGTGAATATGAAACTTTTCGAGACTGAAATGCTGTAATCTCAAAGTATCGCTGTGTAATGAGTACTACTGTAGTCATATACATCAGTGTGTTTTCCACAGTCATCCTTGATGGAACGATTCCACTAAAAGTCCAATCAAGGGAAAGAATGAGAACATGATTGCTTGCATCTTGACTCATGCACACAGATACAAAATCAGACCAAAGGTAGAATGCTTGCAAGACACTTTTAAAAGCAATAAAATTGCACGTTGCAGTCATGAAGCTTCTTCTCAATAGCAACGCCTGCCAACAGACATGTGTTCAGAAATCATGAATAAAGGACACTGGCCATGTTGCATAGGGAGATTTATGTTACAACAGAATTACAGAATGGATGTTATGGAGCTAGCACATTTACAATTAGGCTGATGGCTCAAATCTCAGTGATCTGAGACAGGTAAAATTAAATGCGATGTGAGTGAGCTCCAAATTCTTCGAAGGACGCAGGAGCAAAAACAACATAATAAAGCCACTGTATAAACATGACGGTGATCAACTTATTTTCCAAAGCACCTGAAAGCCAGATAAGGAATAATGGATGGAAACTGAACAAGGGAGAGATTCAACCTAGAAATAAAGTGAAATTTTCTGACACTGTGAACAATCAACCAATGGAACAGCTTGCCTTCAGAAGTTGTGGGAGCTTCATCACTGGAAACTTTCCAGAGGAGACTGGACTGCTATCTGTCAGAAATGATCTCATGCTTGGGTGGTGGGGGGGTTGGGCTAGATGACCTACAAGGTCCCTTCCAACTCTGTTATTCTGTTAAATTTCTCAGTAAGCAAATAAGAGGAGAGAAGGGAAATGATATGAGAGGAGCTTCTTTTGCTTCCTTCATCCACTTTTCTCAGACTGCAAGAAAGCTGTAATTAAGTCAGAAAAGTTCTCCCTCAGTCTGTTGGAGTGATCACCTGTGTGTTAGATACATGTTAAAGTTTTCAAGGTGGAATCATGAGTAGGTTCCAGGTGGTAGTAAATGCATCCTTGAGAGAAAGGGAGATTCAAGAGGTAATGGTCCATTCTCTCCTCATGAAGTCACCCTGTCTTCACCCAAACTGGACACGTTCCATCCAGTTTCCAACCACACCTTTTTTTAAGAAAAGTCATTGAGAAGAGGGCTGACCTGTAACTCCAAAGAGCCTTGGAGAAAGCAGATTATCTAAACCCCTTTTAATCTGATTTCAGGCTGGGTCAGGATTAGTCATACTTGATGATATACTGAATGGAGACAATGCAATCTCCTGGCTGTCCTTTATCTTTCAGTGTCTTTCGATACAATGACTATGGTAATAGCAGGAATTGATGGAGAAAAAAAAAAGATATGAACTCTAACAGCAGGAAAGTTTGGAACCCAATTAGAAAATCAGACAATGAGCCAGGCAAAATGGAAGGGACACTACAACGCAGCAGCCCATCAAGTAGCACACAAAGCACTCCTAAATGGAAAACCTCCAAGCAAATTTAAAAAGAGAAAGAGGAAAATAAAACCCAGAAGGAACATCAAGAGAGGGAGCATTTTAAAGATGTTTTTATACTGATCCAGTTAGAAAACAAAATTAAAATATGAAATCTGGTGAAGCAATTGGCCTTGATGTTCGAACTGTTTGAACTGAACAAATACAAACTTTTTGGACTGGGCATCAGACAGATCAAACACCTAATGTACCTTATGCAGTTAGTCATGTATTGTAGCATAACTAAAACCAAATCTTTTAGATCTAAAGTCAGTATGCCACAGTTAAAAACTATACAAGCATGCAATCTTCAACTACGCTTTATCCATAATAAAAGAATGACTCAAGGTTGGACAGGATTTGGTAGGGAAAGTCGTCCATGGTCCAAATACTGAGCCTCATCATACTGAAGATGGTATGAGAGATACTAAATTACAGCATGGTGTTTATATGCAATCTTTAGAGGCTTGCGACATTGCCATGGTACACAAATATCTCAGTAACTTCCTCTTCCTAAAGAAAATGAACTTGTGTAATTATTATACAACTGAAACTTCAATTCTACCTAAGGACGAGATGTGCAGTGTGATATAGTTTTCTGGGGTGTTTAAAAAAACTTCACCATCCCCCATCCTGAAACTTTAATTTTAGCCCTTTTCACGTCGTTTTATTTTATGCTGTTGCACACAGACTTCATTCAGTGCATTTTGCTCCTCTTGTCTTCCCCACCCCCTGAGTTAATCCTCTGCCAAACATTGCCTGCTTAATTCATCACATATTCACTATCCATTACAGTCAACTGGCAGAGATGATTTTTCCAAACCACTGCTTTGCTATTTTTAACTCGTAACAAACTCTTCTATTTAGCAAATATTAACTTGCTCTTTTGTGGGAACTTCAGTACAGCTTAACTTGGTTGGTCATAGTCAATTAACTCAAACTCAAGTAGTTAAACCATTCCATAATTGTTTTTCTCTCTCCCTCTATCTCAGTGGTGGGTTCCTCCCGGTTCCGCTGAGCCGGTAGCGGTGATGATATGATGTTACCGAATCAGTTCTGCCCCCCTGCCCCCCCCGTGTTATTCTTACCTTTAATTTGCCCCCACCCCCAATCTCTTGCTGCCTCCTGAGTCCCAGATGATGGGCTATAAGGAAAAAAACTGTTTAAACTCTTGCCGTGGGGCTTCAAAGGGCCGCCCTACAGCTGATCAGTGGTAAAAAGCAGTTTGGTGGTAGACCGGTGCCTCCTAAAACAAATGAATAGACCGGTGCCTGCGAAAATACATAAGTAGACCAGTGCCTGCAAAAATAAATGGGTAGACCAATGCCTGCAAAAATAAATGGGTAGACTGGTACAGCTCTGCAAGCAGTTAAAAACCTGGTAGACCAGTACCTCTACTAAATCCTAAAGAATTGTCACATGACCATCAAGCCACGCCCACATAAGCCACGCCCACAAAACCGGTAGTAAAAATTTTTAGAACCCATTCCTGGTCTATCTGTGTGCGTGTTGGAGGACGGGGGTTGCATGAATGAGACAGACAGACAGACAGGATTGAATTATATAATAAACAGTATATTTTTCTCTAAATGCAAGGGAGAATACAGTAAAAACTTTTCCTTCCTTCCTTCCTTCCTTCCTTCCTTCCCTCCCTCCCTCCCTCGGTTTATTTGTCTCGCTTAATATGGTTTTTTAAGTTAGTAGACTTGAGATTATTCTGAAATCATCAGGAAAAAAACGAGAGTCGATTTCAAAATGGCCTTTAACTTCATGGTGAAAATGCAACATGAGATGGCACATCCAGGGCCCATGGTCTTCTGCTGGAACATATTAACTTATTCTCTACTTTTGAGAGTGTTTTTCTGAGTAGATTCCAGAAATGCTCTGACTTCCAATTTTTATTGTTCCAATAAAATAAAATATCTGTAGCTCAGGGTTTAATTGTGGAGTTCTTGTTGCTCAGACATCATCAAGAACTCCACAATTTTATTATTTATAACAAACCATTTATGCCTAAGGGATGAAGATGTAGTCATTTTCCTTCAATTATTCACAACTACTTTTCCTCTCCATTAGTAACTACATGACAACTGAGAGATAAAACTCTACGTTATTAGTTCTCAGCATTAGAGTGAATTTGGATGTACATATTCTTCCAGACCTCAACATACAAACATACAACATACAAACAATCCTCTTATGAACAGTTATTGTTTGTAAGTCCATTTGGTTCATAAATTCAACCAAGCCTATATTTTAAAAATGCATGGTACAGTTCTTACCTTACATAACTTAAGTCACATTTCTTCTTGTCCACCTGATCAATTGCGGACTAACCCTAACCCTTATGCCCTCTAAGCACCAATGCCTTGACTTCTTCTCACCCCTTGCTTATATCGGATGGCCAAGAGTGCATCCTCCCAGCCAGTGGAGGGAGACCAGCTCTGGGTCCAGAAGTCCTTTCCTGCATTGATCCACAGCAGCTTTGGCCACCAGCTCTAGAGGCTGGTCTAGAGTTGTTCCATGGGGACTGTCATTGGGGAAAAGCCATCGGCAAGATAACCAGGTGCTGCCATCCTTTGTGACCCATAGGCAGAGGACTAAGGTACATTGGTTGGACTTGACCGTATGAACAGCAATGGGCCACCCTTTGCTTTGCCATTTTCCACAAGAATAAGGTGGTGCATTTGGTGGGCGTTCCCAGTGGCGAGAGATCCTTGGCCCCAGGTCCCTTAACAGTATTAAATATCTGGGAGTGCAGATAACTAACAATCTGAATTGGTCTCTCCACACATCATCCTTAGTGAAATGTGCAAACCAGCGTCTGCATTTCCTGTGTCGGATGAGAAGAGCACATCTTTCTCCTTCAGTCCTGGCCACTTTTTACAGAGGCATGATTGAGAGCATTTTAACAAACTGCATCACTATTTGGTTTGGTGGTAGCAGTGCCTCAGATAGAAAGTCCATACAGAGAGTGGTAAGGATAGCCAAGAAGATTATAGGAAGCTTGCGTCCTGTTATTCATACTGTTTATAAGTGCTATGTGCTTAGAGCTCAAAGCATTGTTAGAGATCCTACACACCCACTTTATGGTCTGTTTCTGTTGCTCCCCTCTGGGAGGAGTTTTCGAAGTATTCTGATTCAGATTCTGTAACAACTTTGTTTCTTATGCCATCCATCTGGTAAACTTGCAAGATTCATTTTTCTCGCCATGTATATGTATACATCCAAACTAGACTGTATTGTTTCTCTGTGTCATATAACATATGTGGGTACATGGATATAATCTTTTTTCTATCTATCTATCTATCTATCTATCTATCTATCTATCTATCTATCTATCTATCTATCTATCATCTATCTATCTATCTATCTATCTATCTATCTATCTATCTATCTATCTATCTATCCATCCACCCACCCACCCACCCACCTACCTACGTACCTACCTACTGTCATGTTTATGTAGTGTATATTGGAGATGGTGACCCTTTGAGAGCTGTAATGCAACAAACTTTGATTTAAATGTATGCTGCTCGGTATACATTCAAAGTGATAATAAAGTTATTCTAAGTCTAAGTCATTCTTGTGCAGACACAAGCCTCTTTGTCTGCCTGGTGGCTTGATTTTTTCCCCCTCTTCTCCTTGCTATCGAGCCTCTTCCTGGGGCAGCACTCAAGCGGAGCAAACACCTCCCCAACCTGGTGACTTTTTCCCATCCCGCAAAGAGGGGCTTTGGACCTCTTTCAGACTCTGCTCAGTCGATGGGCCTGCACCCTGGTAATGGGTCATTTCCAGCTTTCTTGACTATAGACTTCCAGTGTGCCATAAATGAAGCCTTTGCTGCCTTTTTCTACCTTCCAGGACCTTCTAGGTTGGAGTTACAAATGTTTGTAACTTGGAAGTTCATAAGTAGGAGACTGTCATTTCCAACCTTGGATTATTAATATCTGTATTGTCTGGGAATTGCCTGTGCAGAGTGCCAATCTGAGTAAGACTGGCTAAGCCAATGCTGAGTACGCAAATGGAGCTTCCATATCACCTTGCATAAAAACATGGCTGGGGTATATGTGAATAATTGTCGCTTTTGTGTTCTAATCTGAAAGGAATGTAAATCTTCTAGTCAAGGTTTGGAATGTGTATATGTAATCACTTTCTCCTGTTTGTTTTTTATAGCTTCAGACAGAGGAAAAAGAAGTGGAGAATTTTTGGTTTCTAACAAGACCAACCGATATTATCTAAAACAACGGGGGGTGGGGGGGAATATTAATAGTTCTTATTGGCTGGAAGCCTTTCAATATACTGGGTTTTGTGGCTTTTCAGCAGATCGTTAAATGCATTGTTACAATAATGCTCAAGTGAGGCATTGGAAATACTGGGGATCTGCTAGCCTGTATAGATATTCCCTAAATAATTTTCATGTTGTCCTTTTCTTATAATGTGAGAGTCTACTCTAGACATGCAGATTTTGGAGACATTACTAAAATGACAAACAGACACAGCTAATGTGTATTTTTAAATAAACAGATAAAACTACTATTATTTGGATAACAAATATTCAGATGACCACTTGGTTTCACTAAATAGAGTTTTCTCTTTGTTGCCATCTCCTAGTAATATAAAAGTGGCTAAGTGCTGGCTTAGTAATCTAAAAGTGACTAAATTGCTGTTTTATAAACTAGGAGACAGTGAATTCTAGGCCTCCCTTTGGCATGAAAACTAGCTGGGTAACTTTGGGTCAGTCACTCACTCTTAGCCCAACCTACCACACAGGATTGTTGTAGGGATATTAAGAGGCAGGAGGTCTGTTTGCCACCTTAAATTATGTAGAAGAAAAGGTAGACTAAAAATCTAATAATAATAATCTGGATTTTGGCAGTCAGATATGATAATTGTATCACAGAAGCCAACGTTTCAAGATTGCCTAACTCAGAAGACACCTCAGAAGTTGTAGAAACTGAAAAAAAGTATAATCATTTTAATATTGTAAGCCTCCCAGAGTTTACTATGTGGTAAGATGGGTGGCTCATAAATTTAATAAATAAATAAAAATTTAAATGACAATAAAAGTCACACAAAATATTCTCGGCATTTCTACAAGACTCTTTCTGCTGAGAGAGTTAAACATGCTCGTGACTGTGACTGTGATAAAAAGTGTTCCTGCATAAACCTATTTCTCAACAAACTGGAAAATATATTTCTACTGCACATTTGAATTAAACAGTCACATTTCTGAAGGATATTATCAGCATTTAAAATGAAGCTTCCTGTAACCCATATTAACCATAGCAACAAATTCTGAACAGATGTCTACAGGCTGCTTTAAGACTAACAAAAGAAAAAAGTTGAAACATAGGATGGGCAAAATAAGACACCAGGCTGGGAAATCGATGGCCCTGAACAGAGGTATATAATCAGTTTTACACAGAGTTAGACTTCTGAAGTCTAATACCATTATTGCAGGTGGAGAGCTTAAATGATGGATTTAATTTCTTCAATGGAGATACAAATTTTATTAATAATCCACAGGGTCTCTTATCACCACTAGCTAGTGTGCCAATATGCACATACTGGGAGAAAGCAGACCTTACTATAATTAAAGTACATTTGTTTTTAATTGTAGACAAGATACAAAATGGGAAAATGAAAATGTCAGTGTGTTAATCTATGGTACTTAATGACGTCAAAATGTTTTCAATTATAACTCTCATTAGCTGAGTCTTGCAGGGCAAATGATCAAAGATTCTGGGATTTAAGGGAAGCTGGTTCTAAAACTTTTTACTGTTAATTATAGCACTGCGGGTTAAAATTTTTACATTTATTCTATGCTAAGAACTGGTTCATCTGAAATGGTAACACCATGATTTACTTTACATCATGTGCAGCAGTCTGCAAATTTTATGTGACTGATAAAATACTTTTTGTATGGTTCCTGGATCTCCCAAAATTATATTGCTAAATTTCAAGGGCAAAGTGCCAAGAAACAGAGGTACAATTTCCTGCTGTTTCATATCTAAAACAAGACAAAAATAAACTATAAGCCTGTTTGTAGGCTTAAAACACCAAAATCCAATTAATAAATGAAAATAAACATAGTTTTGCTATCATCTACTAGTTATCTGGATTACTACAGCTCAGATATGTTAGTCATAGTTCAGATAAGGAAGGTCTGTTCTCTGCTTTTTTCCCTGGGTTGGCTGTGAGGATATTAAAAATGTCTAATAAAGATTAATCAGAGTTTATCATGTCATCTCAAAATTCTGCTGGTGGCAATGGTAGGATAAATCATGATATGAAGTTGCCTTGTTTCCAAAAAAAATCAAATTTATCATCCCCCCCCCAAATCAAAAGTGTTAAATTGCCATTAATTAAAACGGACTTCCTAAAAATAATTTCCAAATTTTTCTTAATAGTTGTCCTGGAAGAGGCAGAGCAATATAGGATTCTTATCTGTCTGGCTGTTGTAAGGTTAAACCATGGTTTGTGTTATACCTGAATATTGAATATTGAAGCTGTCTCTGGACCGACTGAAATGCCTTTAACACTACTAGGATCTTTCCTGGTACTAGTAATACCAAAAATGTGAAGAAAATGTTAGCCATGGCAGACAAAGCCACATGGTTTTGAAAATGTAACAACTTACCCATAAAATGTGAGGCGAAGGAATCCAATGCGCTGCCCAAGCTTCAGAATTTCTCCCTGTTTGATAGCAGCTCCTGTTAGAAGCACAATTCCCACCTTTTTAAGGGCAACCAACCACTTGTATGCACTTTCATCACTGTGCAATACCTCTTCAAAGTCCATAGTAGGGAGCTCAAGATCAGAACCCCAATACTGGCGCTCTGCATAAGAAATATATAAGTCAATTATTAGGGATTATTTTATTATAGAGAATTCCATTTTATTCTATACTGATCAGACTGCAACTTGGGTTTTGTGTTCAGTTTTAAGTATCATACTTTAAATTCAGACAAACTGGTTCCAAGAAGATAAAGGTGGAAGAATCAGTGAGCTAGTCATATGAAGGGAGACTGAAGCAATTGTTAATATGTACACTTGACCAGAGGAGAATGAGTGAAGGACTTCTAAATCCTAAAATGCTGTTAGAAAGATTTAAAACATCTTTTCCATCTTTTCATAGAACAGGAGGCAAAATAATAGATTCCAGTTATAGAAAGGCAGATTATAGGTCAATATTTTAAAAAAATTCTAGCAGAAACAATTTGGTAATGGAAGAATTACTCAGAGAACCAGGTTGATATGTAGCAAGACTTTCTACTTTGGATGAATAACCACCAAGCTGATGTGCATCACTGAGACATAGAAACATAGAAAACTGACAGTAGAAAAAGACATTGTGGTCCATCAAGCCTGCCCTTTGAGTTTTTGGTTTTCTTCTTAATTTATGTATTTATTTTTAATTATTTTTTTATTTTTTATTCATTTTTATTTTTTTTTAAAGTTTGTCAGTTGAGACCTGGTAAGCTTGGAGGGAGATTGCCCTGCTCGCAGTTATGTCCATCTGTATTTTGAGTCTAATACTAGCTGTGCTTCCAGGGAAAGAGGATGCAATGTCAGTTGTTATTAAGGAGGTTGCATGGACTTTTAGAGGTGTTGTTTTGCAGGTAACTGAATGTGAGATGCTCTGGTTAAAGCTCAGCTGTAGAGAGCACTTGGAATTGTTGCTATTATACTAGCTTCCCTGCTGTGTGGTAACATCCCTGCTTGACCGGGTACATTTCATCCCCAGTTTCAGTGGTGGGTTGCCCCCGGTTTGGACAGGTTCTATAGAACTGGTAGTAAAACCGGAGGGAGATTCCTCCCACCCACCCTGATGTCATCAAAACGCTTCTGCGCGTGCGCAGAAGAGAGCGCGCATGCACGAGCAAAGCGAGCAAAGCGCGGCCCCGTTGAGAACCAGTAGTAAAGGTAAGTAGAACCCACCCCTGCCCAGTTTGGTATGGAAACCCCAAGCCTTGTTGTTCTTGGGGACTTCAATCTCCCCCTAGATGAGGTTGAGGCTGGGTCAGCTCAAGAATTGACATCTACCATGGTAACCATGGAGCCAACCCCATAATTGAGAGCTTGACATATGCCAGACATCATACACAAAAACTGGTTTTTATTTCAGGGCAATGTACATTTGGCTCTTGAGGATGTTACAATTAATCTTTTGCCACGGTCAGATAACTCCTTAATTTGTTTTTTAATTTGTTTTTGGTGCAGCCTCCTCCAGAAAGAAAATAGGACCTATTAGATTAATCTACCACAGACAATAAACCCTGCTGGCTTCCAGAAGACGCTTGGATATTTTTTTCCCTAAGGATCTGATGAGCATTTTAGTTGAGTTTTTGATCATTCTCTATAATGGGAGCCTTTGGCTTAATTGCTACCCTACGGCCTCTTATTGTTTGCTGATCCTGGAGATGTGCCTAGAACTCTGTTGGAGGAAGATGAAGAACAAATCAGAGCACAAATAGGATCCCATATGAGCAATCACATTGTGGTAATAAGAATAGCAAAACATTATTTTTTTACTCTTATCATGTCCACAAAGAGTCATCCAGATTCCCCTTTTTAAAATGAGCCTACTGGGAAGGAAGGAATTACAGGACCATCTGCAGAGTCACTGTGAAGAATAGCACCAAATAAAGTTATGAGGATTCACTTGAAGCTGAACTATGACTTTGTGAGTCCTGATGAATGATTGAAGCAAGGTCTTTTGTGAGTAGCTGAGATGAATTTGAGCCTATAACTCCTGAAGTAAACAGGATCCTTGGATTGGCTAATGTGACTACAAGTTTATTATATCCATGTTCCTCCTGATTGTTTAAGGCTGTCCAGAAGGTGACATGAGGAAGGGTTGTTGAGTCCACTCAAGAGGCTTTGCTGAAACAAAGTTGTACTGGATAATTTTCATCCCATTTCCAACTTTCCTTTTAGGGAAAGTTGAAAAGGTGATTAGATTGTGATTAAAGAAGACCCTGGTAGAAACTGATTTATATGAACCCCTTCCAGTCAGATTTCAGGCTTGGATATAGCAGTGAGCAGCTCAGGTTGCTCGTTAATAACTACTTTTGATGGAGTCAGAACAGGAAGATTGCAACAATAATTTATCTGATGTTTTCAACAACATTGGACATGGTATCCTCCTGGTCTACCCACACAATTTAGGAATGGAGACACGTCACACTCTTTCACTTACTATCTCTATGGTTGGGTTCAGTTGGTTTGATAGGAGGCAAGAAATCAAGTCCAAAGCCTCAAGTGTGTGGCATAATTCTGTCCTCTTCTGTTTAACATTTAGCATCGGGTGAGGACATTCATTGGTTTGTGGTCATAATCAATATGTAGATGATACTTAAATGTACATCTTGATTCCAGACTATTTGGGAAATGCTGGAGATTGTTGGAAGGAACAGGTTCAAGCACATCCTTGACAAAAGCTAGTACTAATTGGGTTTTGGACCCCTCAGAGATCGGGATTATTCATCTTTAATGAATGACGACAGGGCTGCGCTGCCCCCTTCAGAACTGGTGCATAATTTGGGGGTCTACATGGACTCATAGTTACTGCTCAAGGTGGCAGTTTGGCTATGGAGGTTTTCGCTTAAGTCCATCTTGTATGCCAATTATGCCCCTACCTGGACTAGGCGGCCTTTCAGATCAGCACTCACACATTGTATTATAGCAAATGTGTTGGGGGTACTCTTGAAAACTACAAGGAAGCTGCAACTAATACAGAATGCAGTGGCGTAGAATTAGGGGCATGCCATGTCGTGCTCATCTAACGCCTTTGCTTCATGAACTGCACTGGTTTTTAGTAGACTCTGTGTGCAATTCAAGTATTGCTATTACCTCTCAAGTTCTTCACAGCATTTATGTAGTTCCTGCTCAGATGATATAATCAGAAATAGTAGACATGCTCCTGTCTTCTCCAAGAAATAGTAATCTAATGGGACATAAGAACTGTGCTTCTCTGTCATAACACCAGCCCTCTTCAGTACCTTCCCCCATTTGAGTTTTATCTAGTGTGCACTCCGTGTTTAAAATAGCCTTAAAAATTTGGGTTCCCCCCAAGCCTTGGATTAGAGTGTTTGGCGGGTCCTGTATATTTTTTCCATTTGGAATGGTTGTTTTTTTGCAGGCATTTGGAAATAGTCATTATAGAATTGGACTGCTTTAAAAATGTAATGGAAGATTAATAAAATAAATACAATAAGAATAGGAATCCTTTAATAGCACTCAATTACAAATAATAAAGACTATTAAGGCAGGCTGAAAGCAGCTGAGTAACATTGCATGATTATTATGGAACAAGTCCCGTTCTGAATGTTAGCAGTGAACAGACATAAAAAGAACTAGCATTACTGAACAAAATAGGTCTATATTAACTCTTTATGTAGAACTAGCTGATTTCAAAAGAGCAGCACCTCAATAGTGATAAATTATTCTAATGTGCGAAGAATCTAGTCCACATGAAAGATACCATTTGAATTGTGGTGGAACAGCCTCCCCACTAAAATTTAGAGGGCCCCTACACTTCTGGCCTCTCAGAAAGCCATGAAGGCCTGATTCTTCACTCAGAGTAGGCCAGGATGTGAATTGAGGCCAGCATATATGCAGCCAATTTGAGGTTGATATGGTGCCTTGGATAGTGTGATGGGATTTAATTTGGGGGTGTTTATGCTTGTATTGTTTAGTTTAGTTTGGTTGTTGTTAGCTGCTCAGGATGGGTGGCCATATAATGCTTTTGAAATAAATAAATGACTCTTTTAAAAAAATGACTATGGTTCTATTTCCCAAATACCTAGAAAAGGTGCAAAGTTCCTCATCAAGATGTACAAAGTTAAAAGAACTGAATTCCAAAAACAGAATCTCTCACAATGGAGTTGTAGCCTTTTGCTACCTCTCATGAAATGACACAGCTGGGGGAATTCTATCTGCCAAAAGGAAAAGCTTTTCTCATTGCTAAAAATACAGAAAAAGGCTAAATTTCAAAAGTAACATTTGGGAAATCTCTCAGGAAAGCAGTTGCTCTTTTAAACTGTGTGCATCATGTTGCAAACTGTAAATAATTACAAACTTTAAAACAAAATCTGAAAGACTCTTTACATTTTACCAAACAATCTGAAGTATTCCCTAACTCAACTAATTATTGCAATTGAAGAAGATGCCTTTTGTTCTTCATTACACAGAGAATATCAAATCATTCCCATCTCAGAAATTTCTTTGTTCTGGCATGAATGTTAGAAGTATCCTTTCAGAAACTTCTAGGTTTAGAAACACTCTTCCTGGAATATCACTTTGGGGCAGGGAGGGTTAAAAAAATGTGGGTCTGTTACTTACCTTCCTCAGGCTGTTGGATAAACCAGATTATTTATCTGATGGAATAGTTGTGTGCTTTCCCAGGAACAATAAAATACCCAAGATTTACTTTTAGCAATGGCTGTGATAGTACTTTACTATTGAAAAAGTAACTACTGCTGGATCATGAAAGACAAGAAACTAGTGCAGCTATCTGTAATAAAACGGCAGTTGCATAAAGCATGTCAAGATTAAGAGCCAGAAGAAACATATGCTACATCTGTGTGCTTGTGCAGTATGTGTACACACAGATCTTTAAAAAGGTGACGTGATTTCCTTGGAATTTTTCTCTTTTCCATTTTAGAAAATACTCTATAATAATGGACAGCCAAGGGATTTAGCTAGGTACTCTTTGCCAGTTCCTTTTATTGCTAAGCTGTCAGTTAGATTTTGACAAGAGAACATCTTTTGTGGGAATCCTTTGGGGGAAAGACGGATGCCAAAACAGACATGGTGGAGGAAAGCATATTTGTGG